TTTCAAACCCTAAACCAAACCCCTTCAAATGAAATTAATCAATGTGTGTTCTAAACCACCATAGCGTAAAAGGGAAAGGTCTCTCTTACCACGAATTTTCGTGTAACCAAAGTCTTGACATGCAAATTACGGGTAAAACATGTTCCAGTACTCAGTACAAGTAACTATTTTGACAACAAACAGAAAAATAAGTACAAGTAATAAAGAAATATATCAAGTTGTTAAATAGAATCACTCTACTAAAAGTTAGTATTGAAATAACATAATTTCCATCTAATTAAGATATGTCTACATTAATTTTAACCATAAGTTTTACAATCTATTTTGATATGATAATTAAGGGGGGTTGATTTTATTCTACTTTTTTTTTGGGTTAAGGAACACAAATTCGATATAGAATATTCCCATACCGCGTATTTAAAAGATAGTACAGACAACTTGCAGTCTAGACTTGTAAGCTTTAGCTGCTATATTGGTTTTTTTCTTACGCTGTTGTTACAATGTTTAGAAAACAGATAAACATTATCCAACATTTGATGAAAAAGATAGAGAAAAATATTGGTACAATAAACAATATAATGAAATAAGAAAATAAAAATAAATAAAAAGTGAAATATTAATGAGGAAATTAAAATATTGGAGTGTTCAAAAGTTATCGTTTGTTTATTTAATGAGTACTATATATACTTTGATTTTGTAGTTTTTCTTATTTTAATTTTTTTATACATGTTAAATTACATTTATTTTCGAGTTCTCGAAAATTTTATTATTAGTCTCTTAAAATATTTTTTTAGAAGATAAATTGAGCTTTATAAACTAATTACAAAAGGCCTTTATTTCAAAACTTTCCAATTTTACGAAATAAAATTTAACACTTAAATCTCATAGAATTTGATTCACGTTGAGAATTATGCATGACTGAAATTTTGTTATATATCTTAAAAAATGATTAATTTTTTAAAATAATTTATTATTGCATTAAAAAAAATAAAAATATTTTTCATCTGAAAATAAGAAACTGACATTGTTTTTATCCTCAAGCTTCCGTATCAGGTATAAGCATTAGATACGTTTTGGAAGTATACATGGGAGATTCAAAACTAACAAAGATCTATTCTCTTAAATCTTTTTGCTCCTGTGGTTTTTTTTAATTTTTAATTTTTGTCTCCCAAAAACTTTTATTGTAAGCGTATTTCATCAAGTTTTAAAAATTAAGCAATATTAATTTATTATTTACATATTATCTAAAATTAAATAAAAATATTAGTATGTGAATGTGACTAATTGTCTGATATATACTACTTAACAGTTACTTATATACTAGTTTTCTTTTTAAAACAATTTTAATAACATTATGACAAATTGTTATTTTTTAATTAATTTTAATAAAAATTTATAATTTATTAAAATAATTTTATTTTTAATTTTTAATACTATTATTTATCTAATGATTAATTAACTACAAATAATATCAGTTACGAACGCTTGACATTATTTTTTTTTATTGAGTTTTAATAACATGTTTAAAGTTTTCTAACTTGATTTTAAAAATTATGAAATAAATTTTGCCATAAAAAAAATTAAAAAGATCAAAATTTTAAAAGTGTTTTTGAGAATTTTTGATTAATTTTTTTTCATTTTTTATAAAAAAAAATCTTTAAAAAAATTATAAAATCCAACGTTTTAAACTCTACCAAACCAACCTGAGAGGAGTGTAGAAATAAAATGAACTTTGCATACAAAAGTGAGGAATAATTAAAAGAAGATGAATTAATTACATTTTTTTTTTTTTCGTCCCTGGAGCCGACAGCAGGGAGTAATCTCCTCGCTACGGTGGAGGCACCTCAAAAGGTGGGATAGCTGGCCCCAAAATTTAACGCGACTGCATACATAAGGCAGGATTCGAATTCCTAACCTTGTTTAAATGTGGATCAACCCTTCGTTAAACCACACGCTTGAGATTAATTAGTTACATTTTGAAGTTTTAAGTTAATATCCTGAGGAAGTAGAATTGGTGGATAATATATGGTTTAATTTTGATGAGGTGTGGGTTGATTAAAGTGGGAAAGTGAATGAAGGTGGGGCATTGCACAGTTTTTGTCTGGTTTCCACTGAGAGTGTGTCAGAATCTCTCTCTACTCGAGTCCAGGCTCTTTGTGTGTGTTTTGTGCGCCTGCTGTTGCTGCTGCTCCAATATCTGCAACCCACCCTTTGACTTGCTTTTCCTCCTTCCTTCTTTCACGTTACAAACAATTCATGCCTATTTCGTTAACACTTCTCTTCCACGCTTCAACTTGTGCTTCTGCTCTTTTGCTTATCTTCTGTTCTTGGGACTCACTTGTCCTCTATGCAAAGGAAAAAACACCTGAAAGGAACTGTAGCCTTTGACTTTTTTCCTTTTCACAATCACTACTATAATTAGGATGGAACATAATTATCATAAAGTATACATTATTTTTTAATTATAATTATAATTTTATTTCACTGATATGTGTTGATATATAATACAATCTTTTATTATATATATTAAGGTAAAGTTTGAATTTTAATTGTAATACTGTATGTAAGTTTTATCTTTTAAAATATCGATTTGTTTGGGATACTATATTTCGTTTATTTATCAAATGGATTTACAACATTTACACATTATTAAACTCTCTTAATCTTAGGACATTAGTTAAAATTTCTATTAGATTTCATTTTAAAATTAATTAGCATATAGTGAGGTTTTTTAATATATATATATATAAAATCGTATATGGAGAATTGAAGTAACATGCGGATTAGAATAGGTAAACCAGGAAGTGGAATGTAAGCTTTGATATCCCATATTAGATTTTATCTTAAAATCAATTACATTAATTGTCCAACAAATATATAAATCGTACCGGAAAATTGAGTCATGTGATATGAAGCTTCCCAATCGTTTCAATATGTATAAAATAATAATAAAAGCTACATTAAAGTTGTACATGAAAATTTGGAATTTTTTAATATTTTGTTTTTACTTTTTAAACCTTAATCATGATCCTATTTTGATTAGCATTTTTCTTAAAGAATTACTCCATCTCAACTTATATACAAGCGAAAAAGAATGAGTGTTACTATAATTTTCTCTCATAAGTGGTTTATGGCTCTCTACTTTTAATCACCATTTGATTCATCTCAACTACACATTTATACAATTCATCCTCCTCTTTTTAATGGGACAAACTATGTCAAGCCATCTCCAGTAGAGATCTCTTTTTTATGTTCTTAAATGGGATTCACATATATATATTTGGTCCTTTAAATTTAAAATTATTGATTTTAATCTTTATAATTTCAAAAATAATTATTTTAGTCCTTATATTTAAATTTTGTTAAAAAATTTATTAAATATTATTACATAAAATCTACCTATTGATATTTTTATTAGTAAAAATATCATATTAAATCCGGTTGATATTGCATAACTGTCTTAATTAGTCACTTTCAAATATGTTATTAGTGACGTAAAGAACTAAAACAAGATTTTTGAAAATTACAAGGACTTAAAACAACAATTTTAAATTTGAGGAACCAAAAATAAATTTATCTTAAATTTAAGGGACTAAAAACATATTTAAGCCTAGGTTTAATTACTCAAGATAAAATAATTTATATGGTGTCGTTATAAAGATTTTTTGCACCGTCATCAATGAAAATTATCATATGTAATAAACTTATTAATTTTACTAAAATTATTAAAAAAAAATTACATAATTAATAGTATAAAATAATTTATATTATCAGTATATAATTATTAAATTTTTTAATTATAAAATTTAACTTATAAGGCAAAAGTTTTCTCATTATATATTGCTTTAATTATATTATTATTGAACACCTAAATTTGACGAAATAAGATATATATAAATTGTTGGATAATGATATCTGATATAATAAATAGGCACAATAATAACTATTTAAATAATTTTTGATACAATTTTAGAATTAACATTAATCTGTTAAACAAATATTTAGTTATATTTTAAGAAAGTAAGTTAAGAATTTAACTCAATTTTATGAAATTGATTTATGAGTAAACAATTATTTCCAATTTAAATATATTATTATAATTTTATTCTTAAATGGTATAAGTTAATTTGTAAAATAATAATTATTTTTTATTTATATATATTATTATAGTTTTATTCTTATACGATGTTGAATATTTAAAATTTAAGTTAATCTTACAAAATTAATTTATAAAATAATTTTTTTTTATTTATATATATTATTATTTTTATTATTAGATGATGTGAGATCTTTAAAATTATATATAATAAGAATGAAAGTGATAAAATATACAAATTAAACTACAAATGAAAATAGAAAAATAACACAATTTAAGGTGCTTTAACTAGGCCTGAGCATGGGGCGGGTTCGGACGAATTCAGGTTGAAAATATTAAGCCCAATCCAAACCAATCCCAAAAAAAAGTCCATTTTCGACCGTAAACAGTGTTTCGGGTTTGTCGGGTTCGGGTTTTCGAGTCTCGGGTTAATTGGATCGGGTTAGTCGGATTGGGCAATCCATGCATTATTTGGCACAATTTTTCTCTATACTTAATTTTTTTCTCCTTAATTCTCACTTCCTACCACTCAAATCTGCCCCACCAAAGGGCGGAGCTTTACATTTTCATCTCAAAAGAATTCAAAATAGCAACTAACAACCCATATCTCTTCATTTCAAAACAATTCACAACAAACCAAAAACGACAACAATTCTAATCGCTTGGGAAATAAAGAGCGAGAGGAACCTTTTCGAAATGAAGGGAATGTCGAAGTGCGTAGAAACGGCCATGAGGCTACGGGAGAGGAACAGTGTTTGGTTCTATGGCAGACGGAGATGAATGAACCGTGCTAGGGTTCACATGACTACTCTCGCGGCGTTAGGATTTGTA